GCTAGAAATATGTGGACACACTCTTAGAATGCTTTGATTTCTTTTGGGTGAAGCAGTAAATAATTATTAGGTAATTTGCATATGTTAATTCTCCTAGCAATTCCAATTTGTGTCCTGGCCTCTCAGTCTATAAAACTTTCACTTCAGATACCCATGTTCATCCTCTTATCAAAAGGAATCTTGTAGTCCCTTTCTTACTCTCATAAATTTTCACATTACTTAAGAATTTTCTTAATCAATCCATTGCCTGCTATGGTACCATGTTTAGTTTGCTTTTTATTCTTTTGCCTTTCTAAATTTTCTATGTCTGCTCTTCCATCACTCTGCTTTTAGAAGATCCTTGGAAATCTCTTCTAGGTCCTTTTATCTTATCAATATGCAAGCTTTCCTAAATCAACAGTCTTATGGCTTTTATTACCATAAACTCATTTTAATTAACAAATAAGTGCCAATATTTATCATTCTTGCCATGAGCTTGCTTCTGAGCCCAGCCTTGTACCTGCCCATCTAGAAATTACCTCATGTTTTCCTTACAGCTACATCTACTTGAATATTTTAAAATTATAACTCTTTATCTTATCCCTAAATCTTTTTCCCCCCTGTGTTCCCAGTTCCAATAGGTACATGACAGTTGGCCCACTGGCCTAAGCCAGCTACTTAAACATCATTGTTACATTGTTTCTTCCTTAATTCCTAAAATCTGAATAATCACTCAGTTCTACAACTTCTACTTCCCAGGCCTTATAGATTACAATTTCTGAAATGTATCCAGGGTCTAGATTTGTTTTTCACTTTATGCTTGAGTGTCACCCAGTGTCTAATATTTAGTAGACACCCAGTCAATATTAGCAAGCTAACTGAAGGAATAAACCAATGAATGGAGGCTAAATTAATGAATAAACAAATCAAATAAGAACTGGAGATTTGCTTTCTGATTTTTAAATTTCTGATCTTTTTGAATTAAACATCCATTTTATGATAAGGTGGCGCGAAGACCTGGGTCTTTGACCATCAGCCCAAGTACTCTTTCTCTCATAACATGTCATATTTGGGAAAAGAAAATCATGGTACCATGGACATCTTACTAAATGGCAAATGAGTGCAAACCCCTCTTGAACAGTGAAGAACCAGTGACTCAGAAAAGATTGAACATATTCATGGCAATTCACCTGGTTACTGGATAGAGTTGGGGCTAAAAATCAATCTTCTTACTTTTAATGCAATAATGTTTCCTGTATTTTGTGACACATATTAATCATTGAAAAATTAAAAATATCATACTCTTAAGCAACTGGAAGTTATATTAAATATAACTTCCATTTGTACAATGTCTTATTTCTCTTGCTGTCATTAACCCATGTAACCTTTTTACTATCTAAATGCTAATAATTTCTATTTTTTTTGCAGTTCTATAATGCTGTTGTGAATAAATGAATACTTTTATTTAACTATTTCAGCAACAGAAATGATTTTCCCAAACTTTGAAATAACTTCTGATAGGCCAGAAAGGAGACTGGGGTTTGCCTGCTTGTCTAATAAAGTTGAAATGATGGACCTGATAACTTGAATGATTACTGGACTCTCTGTTATGGCCATCTCTAAGAGCTCATAAAATATTTGTGATCTATTAAAATTTTAAAATATTATAGAAGACACCTCCAAAATTTTGGATATATTTGAGTACCACTTTATGATTTGCCCTAAGTTTGTAGTTATTAATCCATTAAAAGACAAAGCTGCTTGTAAATCCACTGGCATAGATAAGAAGCCACTCATTGAGTCTGAGCCCTTTTCCAATGAAAAATGTCAGTGGCAGAAAAAGAGGATGAATTGCTTTTTAAAAGGGTTTTTCAAAGATTCTCATGATTTCTCTTAAATGTGACATGACTATTTTTCAGCGTGTAAAAACAAGCAAATTACTTGGGCATCATCTTTATGTAGAAAACAACAGTCTTAACTAGAATTTAGCTAACGGTTGAAGTGTATTTTACCTTTAAATGGTAAATTGTACAGAGATTGTTTAAGATATGAGTATGGTTGAAAATACTTAGAATGATTAGGTAGAAATAAAAGTTTTTTTCTAATAGAAGAAATAGTCTAAAGACTTAAATGACTGCTATACAGCATAAACATGCTTACTTTAGGAATATTTCCCACCTTTTCCTTTTTGACATCATAAGAGATTGTTATCTGTGTGCTGTCTTTGAGGATGTTTCTATGCAAGGTTTCAGATCCCAATGCATTAATCAAAGTGACTGTGCAGAAATCAAAAACAATTTCAGGGACAAATCTCAGAAATGGGTTTGTTATTACACATACAAAAACAAATTTTTATTGTTCTGTATCCTTTGAATTCTGAATAAGCTTCATGATTTGATTTTTTAAGCTTGCTATATTATTTAATCTAGGTAAACTATTTCTAAAACTATTCTGTAGAAGCTCAGGTCTACTGAACCTTTCTGAATCCATTTCCTCATTACTAATCGCATGAGCTACTAAAAAAAATTGGGAGGTTTTTATCTTAACTTAATGAAATCAATGAATTCTTTCACTTTGAGTATACTTTACAATTGGGAGAGAAAGGGAGTGTAAGGCGGGAGAATAGAGGAGCAGTCTTTAAATTTGAATCTCTTCACTGTGAATATGAAATTATTTATATTACACTAGTGGCCCGATGCATGAAATTCGTGTACATAAAAAAAGAATTAATTAGAACAATATTTTAATATTGCTATTTGCCCTTTCTCTATAATAGAGGTTTCAGAGATGAAAGAAAATTAGTAAAATGTATATGAAAATCTTACTCTTGTCAGCGTCTGGGTTATGCCTCAGGACCTAGGGTGAAGTCCACACCCACCCACGCATGCCTCAAAATTGTGGGAGATCCAGACCAGGCTGGCCTCCACCCAGTCAAGCTCCTAAGGGCAGGGGATCCATCCTCAGCCTTCCTGGCCCAGCCTCAGGTCCCCTGTCCCTGGCTTCAGGGCATAAGGGCATGAGGGTGTGACAGCCTTTTGCATATTGGCTCTTTATTATGTAGGATATTTATTATTCAGATGCAGATATTTTTATATTTTATAATGGACACAATTTAATGATTATACAATATTTTAGTTGATTATGGTTTATATACTTTGATCTTGGTTTTGGGAATAAGCAGTCATAAAACATAGCTGAAACCGGTTTGGTCCAGCGGTAGAGCATTGGTCTGCGGACTGAAAGGTCCCAGGTTCAATTCCAGTCAAGGGCATGTACGTTGGTTGCAGGCACATCCAAGGTAGGGGGTGTGCAAGAGGCAGCTGGTTGATGTTTCTCTCTCATCGAAGTTAAAAAAAACAAACAAAGGAAGAGACATAGACATAGAGATATGAGGAAGAGACATAATTGAACTCAGGTTGATGGTTTTGCTTTTATTTTTTTTTTCTATTTATTTTTTTAAAATATATTTTATTGATTTTTTTACAGAGAGGAAGGGAGAGAGATAGAAAGCTAGAAACATCGATGAGAGAGAAACATCTATCAGCTGCCTCCTGCACACCCCCTACCAGGGATGTGCCCGCAACCAAGGTACATGCCCTTGACCGGAATCAAACTCCGGACCTCTCAGTCTCCAGACTGAAGCTCTTCCACTGAGCCAAACCGGTTTTGGCGATGGTTTTGCTTTTAAAATCATCATGATTAGTTGTTCATATTTGAAGATAGTTGTTGATTTGAAGAAAAACTAGGACAAGATTAAGGCAAAATTTTCATAATATGTCACTTATCATGGTGTACATTATATTCTATTTAGGATTTTCCGCAGCTTATTCTGAATGGATTTCCACTTATATGTCTTCCTATTCCAGTCCTTCCCATTTTTATATCTGCTGCTGAGCAGGCTGAGAAGAAATACCATTTTAAAAAACACACCCAATAAATTATATTATTAATTTATTAAAATATAAAATTTTGATATGATAATATGACAAGGTAATACTTTAAAGGCTTACCTAGCATAAATTTAATTTTTTAAAGAGAGGGGCTCCAATTCCTGATTAAGATACTTTTTTGTTAATCCCCCAAAATGTTTAGGCTGGTGGCCATTCTTTAAAGTTTTGAAGCTCTCCTGAAATTTTTTATTAATTCATTTATTTCTTAAGCAAACTCTTTTGCTAAATCAGAATCTTACATAAAACACTAAATATAAAAATAACTTTGGCCCTGGCCCGGTGGCTCAGTCAGTTGGAGTTCCATGCCATACACCAAAAAGGTCACAGCACATACCTGCCTTGGAGGTTCCCTCCCCATACAAGAGGTATCCTATCCATACTTCTCTCCCATAGCCATGCTTTTCTTTCTCTCTCCCTTCCTCTCTCTCTTAAAGCAATAAAGACATATTTTTGGATGAAAACTGTTTAAAAATGATTTTGACCAATCCTTTTTTATTTGGGAAAAACATGTATCTCTATTTTTTATACATGTAGATGTTTTATTCATTGGAACTAATAAAATTTTAGAAAATCATCAAGTACTTTAAAAAAAGCTCTCCTGATTTTATTCAAGACATGATTAACTATAGTAAAGTTACTGCCTAAGATCTATATCTTTAGTTGTAATTTTTTACTTATATTGGTGATCACAAATAAGAATTTAAACTCTAAGTCATTGTCCTAACGTTTCTTATCTGTCTGTTTCGGCATTTGGCCAATGCCTTTTGAGGAAGTAGGTATTATTATTTCTGGTGCTTAAGAACTTGCTAAATAGAATTGACTTCAGCAGATGATATGTGTGCAAAGGTGCAAGAAAAAAAAATGGGACTACATTTGAATACAATTATAAGGACAAGTTTTATTTTCCTCCCAGGATAATAAGATCAGTTGTGTTTGTTTTTTTTTAGACAAGCATAATTAATTATCTTTATATGAGCGCTGAGGATATTGTGCACATAAAGCAAACACAACAACAAGAGGTGGCTGTTGTTAAAGCACACAAGTGAAGATACTTGTTTCCATTCTTTGCAGGAGAGCTGGAGGTCTTTCAGAAAGATGGGGAACGGAAAATTCAGAGTCGGCAGCAACTTCCTGTGGGAACGACGTGGGGCCCATTTGCTGGGAAGATGGACCTGAATAATAATTCGCTGGTATGTGGATGCTCTGACCCAATATTCTGTCATTGCTCAGAAATTATCTGTTTGCTTCCCAGTGAAATCACTAAGAAGAACAGGGATTTTTTTTTTTCTTATTCATGGATCCAAAACTTGGATATTTTCCAAGTGGTTTGTCTCTGACAGTAAAATACACAGAATTGAGAAGGAAACAGGTTAATCATTACTTACTAAATGGTTGTTTAGTAAGGTAATTTATAACGTTGTTGCTTTATCTGCTTAGCCAGACTAATAGTATTCACATTTAATAATACATACAAATGCTTTTGTTTTTAAGATGACGCAAATTAATTGTCATACATTACAGGTTTACACAAAGAGCAAGAAATAAGCAACCTTGCTATTCCTTGGTAGTATTCTTTGTGCCATTACGGGCAAGGATAAATGATTAGCATTATATTTGTTGTTAAGTTTTTTTCTTATGTGTGTGTATGTGTTTTTAAGTTCTGAGATCAGAAAGTTTACCTCTAGGCAAGAATATATAGAGGACTGATTAATTAGATGTTTTTAAAAGTCATAGAAAGATGGGATGTTTGGTTACATTTAAGCTTCATTTCTTAATTGGGTATATTAGTTTTCTACTGCTCCTATAGCAAATTGCCACAAACTTGGTGGATTAAAACAACACAAATGTATCATCTTGCAGTTCTGAAGATTTAGAGTCTGGAAAGAGTCTTTCACTGGGCTGAAAATCAAGGTGTCTGTGGGACTGAATTCCTCTGGGGAGTCTCTAGGGGACAGTCTGTTTTCTTCACTTTCCCAGCATCTCTGGGCTGCCCACAGTCCTTGGCGTGTGGCCACCTTCCGTCTTCAAAGCCCGCAGCCCTGAGAGAGTCTCTCTGGTGTCCACATTTTGACCTTGACTCTCCTGTCTCCCTCTCTTACGTTTAAGAATCTTTGTGATTACATTGAGCCCACGGGGGGGGGGGGGGGGGGGGGGGTAATCCAGGCGAATCTGTTTTAAGTTCAGCTATTATCAACTTTAATTCCATCTACTTCTGTAATTTTTCTTTGCCATATTATTTAACGTTCACAGGTTCTAGTCATTGGGACCACTCCTATTATGTGATCATTCAAAGGATAAAACTTGTGAGAAAAAAATGTCTTTATTCTTTTGGAGATCCAGAAATTATATTCTCTCTAAATTCCATTTTTATAGGAAGAGTCTCATGGCTATTAAATGATCCTCTCTACCCTGTGGAGATATAAAAACTCGCAGAGGGGTGTTGACAAACATGTGAAACTCACCGAGACTGCATTTCTTCTTCAACTTATCACATGAAAGAAATTTCGTGTTCAAGTTATTGCACGAAAGAAATGCACATGCATATATCTCTGCTTATTCCATACCATGCAGATGAGACAGAATTTCTTGCTGGTTCAGCTAACAGAAATGATTGGAATAAGTAGGAAATATTTATGTCACCAAACTTCTAATTAACATGTGAGATGCTAGGGGTATGCTTTTTACTTCCTAAACTCGTCTATTTTCCATAAAAGGATAAAGCAAGAGATTTTACACATATTTAAGAAACAAATAAGTTGATAGGAGAAGCTCAGCATTTCATAATTGAGGCAGTTTAGTTGTTGGTGATTCAGTGCACCTATTTCAAAAAGATTTTGAGATGTGGCCCTCCACACACTACAGGCCTTGATTGGCAGAGATGTATGAATAGACAGTTCTAATGATTCCTTTGAGAGAATAATATTAACTTACTGATTTCTCAAGCAAAGTCAAAAAAGAATAAGATTGTCTAAACATCATAGGTTGAGTTAAATGCTCTTCTAACCCCATTTATCTCTGGGGGTTTCCATTGGTTGTCTAGCATTGTTGATAATGTTTTAGGCAAGAAGATGTTTATCTTATTCATCACTACATATCAGATGCCAACTCAGCCTTTAGTCTTTTCTCTGATAGTTCTTCAAAAGTATAATGCTGTGGCACCAATTGCTGATGCAAGAAATGAACATTTCTCCCTTTTAATATCTATAGAACAATGTAAATTTTATTACTCTTTATGTCATTATCTACATATATGTAGAGTTGTGCTTTTATACATTTTTAGCATATGCTAAATTGGGCTGTGTGGAAAATCTATCTGTGAAAATTGGTCAGTGAAGTAATTTCCTGAATGATTTTTTTTGACAGATGATAACATTTTGGCTCCCCCGCCCCCCACTCCTGAACCATTCTAAACCTATTTTGTGCCATGTTTTATATTTTTCAAAGGATTTGCTATTTAGATATAAAGTTTTCAGAATTTTTTGATACTCTGGAGTGTATGAATACTCTTTAAGGTATCAAAAACCAGTAGTGAGTAATAGTTCTTTATATAAAAAAAAAAACATCTTAATACCCTTCTTTTCTTTTTTTGTCTTAGTTCAATATCTAACTTACATTATTTTCTTAAATGATTTCTCAATTGAAAAATTTAGTTACTTTGCTTGGTTATACTTTAAAACTATTTTTCTTTTTCAATAACATTCTTTTCCAGAATTCACATATAGTTTATGTCATGAAATTCTACCAGCACTACTGTTTGTGCTACTCTTAGTTCTGTAGAACAGATGGTTAGCATATACCACACACGTATTCTTCTCTAGACAATGTATGGAGAATTGGAAATGGATTAGCTCATGTAATCTTCCAAACAAACCTGTAAATTTGGCTTTTTTATTGCATTTTAAAGATAAGAAAATAAAAACCTAGGTCTTTTATTTCCAGAATCTGCAGTTTTAAAACCATGCCATACTGCCTCTTCAAAAGCAATTGCAACATGATTTTAGCATGATAAAATTATTGGCCTTTTTCTTAGAGAAATTATCAATTGATTAAAAAAAATCTTGGGGAGAAAATATCACTAATTGCATCACTAATTAGAGGTATACTTTTTTTTTTTTAACTTCAGGCAAAATATTTTTTTCCTGATCCCTCACAGTCTATTTGAGCAGTTATGAGTTAATTCAGAGGCACCTGCAATTTTCATTCTCTTTATGATGTGGACAGCACTTTAATATGCATTTTATATGATGAAGATAAATTTTCCTTATTATAAAATAACTAGCCTGCTAACTCTTTCTTACCCAGCCTTGCATCAGTTTGGATTTAGCACATTCTTTTAAATTGTTTGTTCGCCAGCCAATGTAATATTACCCTGGTCTGACTCATGGTGTTGGCTCAGGAGATTCAGCACACTAATTAATCCAACACTGTAATTAATTGAGTCACCATGCCAGATGTCAAATCCTTTTTATATCTTTCAAGTCCCCATCTTGAAGCGCATTAGCAATATGCCACCTTCTGCAGCACGCCTTTGCATCATACCATGCATGTGGATGTATACAGAACATTTCAAGAAATATATGCTATATGGAAACACCGAACAAACTGATTTGACAAGAAATTATTCTTGGAAGCCTATATATAATACACTGAACATAAAAAATAAATAATCTTTGCGCACACCACATGATCTTGTTAGATACTTCATGCTTTCATGGTTTAATAATAAATAGCAGCGTATAGTTAACACTTTCATTGGGCGAGATACCAGTGAAAGTGCTTGTATATCTTGTTTACATCTCATTTAATTCGTGTACAGGCACTTCATACAATAGTGTTTATCTCCTGTGTTGCAGAGAGAGAAACTGCTGCTTTGGGAAATTAAATAACTAGTCCCAAGGTCAACCTAGTGTGACTCCAGAACCCATGTTGCAATCAAATACTGTCTTAGAAATGTTATATGTCATACAGGGGTAATAATACTACCTCGCTGGCAGGGATCTTTGTGAAGACTAAATGAGGTGGCATATGTGAGTGATCAATAAATAATAACTACTCTTATTGCTCAGTCACCATACAAACTGGGCCCATTATAATCTATCAAGTTTAAAACTGAAAAGACACTCCAAATTAAACAAGTAAAATTGCAGTCCTTTGTTGTTCGGTCATTTTACATGACTAAATTTGGCTATTTCCAAGGACTGTATTAGTCAGGATTTGCAGAGAAACAGAACAAATAGGAAAGCAGGGAGGGTGTGTATGTGTGTGTATGTGTGTACAGAGAGAGGGAAAGACAGAAAGACTGAGAAACAGAGATGCTATAATAGTATGGGGAACTGGCTCACTTGATCACAGAAGCTGGCCAGTGGAAAATCGATCCTGTGGTACAGTGTGAGCCAGCAGGCTGGAGACCCAGGAAAGTCAGTGATGCGGACGAAGCTTATTGCCTGGAGAGGCCAGTGTTTTTGTTCTATTTAGACCTTGAACTGATTGGATGAGACCTGTCACATTACGGAGGACAATCTGCTTTACCCAAAGATCACTGATAAAAATGTTAAGCTCCTCCAAAACACACTTGGAGTTGACATAGAATACTACCTAAGGCAAGCTCCAAAAGTCTTTGGTACATGGTAAGTTTCTGTTGTTACATGTGTATAGTTGTACACACCTAGAATGAATGGGTAGCTAGTGAGTAAGCCTAGCTTTCTTTCCAACATTCTACCTCTGTGCCAAGGATAAACTTATAGTAAGTGCCATCACAGTGATGCAAACTTCATGTCCCTGAACGTTCTATAGTTTTATTTGTTGAAAATACCAGAGAATTACTGATGAATATTGTTTAATCATTTTAATTTGTTCTCAGTGCATGTTTTGAAGTTGTTTTAGAATTTTTGCATTCATAGGTTGTGCCTGTGAAGTTTTCCCATTTTCTCCTGAGTACAAATATATTTGTAATGTGCTAAATCTCTGCTATGCTAGCACATGGTATGTATTTAATAAGTAACAAAACAAAACAAAACAAAACAAAAAACAGTAAATTTATTGGGAACATTAGGTGTCTGAAATTTAAGTGACATTTGCCTTATCTTGCTTTTGAATGTAGCTGCTTCCAATAGCTATCTAGTCTTATTCTGGAACATACACAACTGCTGGAACATACACAGTTAATTAAATAGAGAATAAGTTGAAAGTC